TTTTTTCCTTTTCTGCTTCCGGAAGACCTGGCGCACCTCGTCTTCGCTGATCTGAATTGTAGGTGTGGGGGAGAGGGGGGTTGCTGGAGGTGTGAATGGTTGTGTGGAGAGGTGTTCAGGGCGGGTGTGGGGTGTTTTTGTATAAATGTATAAATGTATAAATGTAATACATGTATAAATGTAATACATGTATAAATGTAATTATACATTTAATTATAAATGTAATTACAGAAATTAATTACAGGTGTAATTACATGCAGGTATTTTTAAAATATAAGTACAATGTAAAAACATGTATGTCCACAATAAGTGCATTGTACCAAATTATTAATTTAAATGTAAGTACATAGTTGTTAAGGCCACTTAATATAAAGTGGGTCCATTGTTTCTGCTCCAATTAAGCTCATTGTGCTCCCTTTAAGCTCTTTCACATTGAATGTCTATTTAAATACTTCATAACAACAGACTTTAAATATTAACTGATGGTTGTCACTTTAAGTTAATCTTTATAAAATAATTAATTAACTAATGAAAGAGGCATGTCATCTGTACAAAGAAGGAGACATCAGAAACCTGTCATATCTGTCCAGGAAAAATAAAAATAAAACGATTAAAAGCTGGAATACACTATACACGACTTTTAAAATGTAAACAGATTTTTAAAACACCAGCCAGGCATCATACACTTACCGACTATGTAGATAGTCACAAAGGAAAACTGGGCATCATACACTAAACGACTGAGGATCACACACTACCAGATTTTAAATTCCTTCAGATCACAACAAACTCATCCAGAAACGTGCACATTGTTGCTGGTAGACGTATGACAAATGAAAACAATATGTGTTCTAAAATCAGCTGAAAATATCAAACATGTTTGATATCCTCCGACTGGGTGGAATCTAAGTCTGAAGCTAAAAAATCGGAGTCTGTGACCATCATACAGTACACAATGAGGCTAGTTTCTGTGCTCAACCCCATGATTGAAATGTTTTATTGGTTTGTTTTGTTATTTGAATATGTGTTACTTAGCTGACCGTGGACCAGTCATGATGTTGCAATGTGTTTGAATGAGATTCAAGATTCAAGATTCAAAAAACTTTATTAATCCCAGAGGGAAATTGCTTTCCATGTTACAATTTGCTCTCAAGAAAGAAAGAAAGAAATGAAAGAAAGAAAAAATATAATAAAATGAATAAATATATATCTATATATCAATAAAATTAAAATGAATACGTAAAACATACAAATAATAATATAAAACTATACCAGTGAAAATGGTAGTTTAGATCAAATATGAAATGAATTAAAGTGAAATGGAATGACAAATGTGGAATATAATAAGTCCAGTATGGTAATGGTAATTAAGTACAGTAGTTATATAGTATGCATTGCACACTAATCTTAGTATTAATAAATAGGCAGTAATAATAATAATAAATTGCATTGCACAAGAAAAGTCCCTTATTGCATATGAAATGAACATGTATTGCACATGCATTACTCATAAATGTCCCAGCACTTATAGAGAGGAGTTGTACAGCCTGATGGCCACAGGGATAAAGGATCTTCTGAAGTGCTCAGTGGAACACTTGGCAGTAATCAGTCTCTGGCTGAATGTGCTCCTCTGGTCGACCAGCACACTGTGTAGTGGGTGAGAAGGATTGTCCAGGATTGAGTAAAGTTTTGACAACATCCTTCTCTCAGCCACAACGTGAACAGGTTCCAGCTCCATGCCAAGTACAGAGCCAGCCCTCCTAATTTGTTTGTCCAGTTTATTTCTGTCTGCCACCTTCATACTACTTCCCCAACAGACCACCGCATAGAAAATGACACTAGACACCACAGACTCATAGAACATCTGCAGCATAGTGTTGCAGACGTTAAAAGACTTGAGCCTCCTCAGAAAATACAGCCTGCTTTGACCTTTCTTGAAGAGTGCTGTTGAATTTGATGTCCAGTCCAGTTTGTTGTCTATATGGACTCCCAGGTATTTGTAATCTGCAACAATCTCCACTTACTCACCATGGACAGACAAAGGAGTGACGGGGGTCCTGGATTTTCTAAAGTCCACTACAAGTTCCTTTGTTTTCCTGACATTGAGCTGTAGGTGGTTTAGCTCACACCAGGTAACAAAGTTGTCCACTACCGTCTGATACTCTGAGGTGTCACCACCCTGAATACATCCTACAACCACAGAGTCATCAGAGAACTTCTGAAGATGGCAGAATTCGGAGTTGTAACTAAAATCAGATGTATACAGGGTGAAGAGGAAGGGAGAAAGAACTGTCCCCTGAGGAGCACCGGTGCTGCAGATCACAGTGTCGGACACACAGTTCTGTATGCGGACGTTCTGGGGGCGGCCAGTGAGGTAGTCCATAATCCAAGAGACCAGAGGAGTGTACACTTGCATGTTCTTCAACTTCTCCTCCAGTAGGGTGGACCTGATGGTGTTAAAGGCACTAGAGAGATCAAAAAACATAAACCTCACAGAGCTCCTCGGTTTCTCTAGGTGAGTATAGGTTCGATGGAGCAGGTGGACGATGGCATCATCCACTCCAAGTTGAGGCTGGTAGGCAAACTGTAACGGATCAAGGAAGGGTTTGACAAGGGTCCGAATGGATCTGAGGATCAGTCTCTCAAAAACTTTGATTAGGTGAGAGGTCGGCGCTACTGGCCTGTAGTCATTGGGTACACAGGGCCGTGCAACTTTTGGTACCGGCACTAAGCAAGATGTTTTCCATAGCACTGGGACCCTCTCCAGATATAGGCTCAGGTTAAAGATGTATTGTAGCACACCACAAAGTTGCGGGGCACAGTCTTTCAGTATTCTTGGACTGATTCCATCAGGGCCCACAGCCTTTGTGGGGCTAAGCCTGCTCAATTCCCTTCTTACTTGATCCTCTGAGATGGTGATGGTTCTAGAGGAATCTGGCGTAGTGGTCACTACATGTGGGGGATGGACTAGTGAATGTGTAGAGAAGTTATAGGAGGGGAGCATTTGAGACTTCACATCAAATCTATTGAAGAAAAGATTAAGCTCATTAGCATGGTCTATATTGCCCTCCAACAGCTGGCTGCCGGTCTTGTAGCCAGTGATGTTCTCATGCCTCTCCACACCTCCCTCAAGTTATTTTGTTGCAGGCTATTTTCCAATTTCCTCCTGTACTTTTCCTTTCCCTCCCTCATCTTGACAGACAGCAGTCGTTGAGCCCTCTTAGCTTACTCCTTATCACCCATCCTAAAAGCCCTCTTTTTATCATTGAGAGCACCTTTAATGTCCTTGGTGACCCAGGGTTTATTGTTGGGGAAGTAATGAATAGTTTTCAGGGGCATGCAGATGTCAACACAGAAATTAATATATTCCGTGATGCAGTCAGTCAGTTGGTCAATGTCCTCACCCTGTGGCTCACAGAGTACCTCCCAGTTAGTAGACTCAAAGCACTTCTGCAGGGCAGCATTGGCTTCATCAGACCATTTCCTCACCTTCCTGACAGTAGCAGGTTGCCTCTGAACCAGGGGTCTGTATATTGGAAGGAGATGGATCAGGTTGTGATCTGACCTGCCTAGTGGGGGGAGGGCTGAAGAGCTGTAGGCCCCTTTAATATTTGAATACATCAAGTCTAGGGTCCTGACACCTCTGGTGTAACAATCCACATACTGAGTGAAGGTAGGAAGTGTTTTCGTGAGGGACACTTGATTGAAGTCACCGGAGATGAGATACAAGGCGTCGGGGTGGCGAGTCTAAAGTTTGGCAGTGACTGAGTATATGAGATCGCATGCGCCAGCAGCATTAGCGGATGGAGGAATGTAGACGGCGATTTAAATGGCGTGAGAAAACTCTCTAGGCATGTAGTATGGGCGAAGCCCCACAGCCAAAAGTTCAATATCGGGGCTGCAAACACGCTCTTTCACGGTTACATTACCCGGGTGGCACCACATGTTGTTAATATAAACAGCCAGTCCTCCTCCTCTCCTCTTACCGCACTCCTCTCTTCTCCGGTCTCCCCGCACTGCACTGAAGCCGTTTATATTAATGCTGGAATCAGGTATGCCATCATGTAACCATGTCTCCGTAATACACATCAGACTGCATTCGCGAAAGATGTTCTCCCTTCTTACTAAGGGCACTTACTAATGACACTTCACTATGAATATAAACTGATCAAATTGAATGCCTTGTTTCTTGATTTTAGTGTTCTGTTTTTTTTGTGTGTGATTGACTCTGTCCCTTCAAATAAAAATTTTTTTTTTCAATTATTCTTTAAAAAAGTTTTTTTTAAACAAGAATTTTTAATAAAACATGATGTGAGCTTATTGAAAACGGGTGTGCTTAAAGGGTACAAAAAAATTACCCTTACGCACAGCCAGACCTTTTGCATTTAATGATGTACATCTTATTTGAAATGATTCTGTCATTTAAAATAAAATTAAATATTAAGAGATTAAGAGATTGAGAGATTAATATTATATTTTAACATAACTTATTGTACTGAAACTGATATCTTGTGCACCCATGTAGATTTTTGTGAGCTTAATAGCTACGCTTACCCCTAGAGAGAGAGAGAGAGAGAGGGAGAGAGATATGTAGAGTGTCCTAATACATGTTTATTCAAAGAAAGGAGAGAGAAAAGAAAGATTGCAGATGTTTATAAAGCAAGAATAGGTTACAGGAACTATTATATAATTGAGGAAACATTCATATACAAAAAGTGTTAGACTGTACAGACTTCTTTAACTCTATCTAAAAGTGTAGTCCACGTTTGTCTACTATCATAAGTTCTTTAATTAGTTGGAATGACAGATCAAAAATGTTTTTATAAAATAAAGAGCATTCACACATAAACACACGGTGGGCTCATCTGGAACACAGGTGGGCTTAAATGATACACATGTATTTTATAAGCCCTCCCCAGATTTATAAAGTACTGTATGCTCAATTTTAAAACTTACATTTGGAGGGGCTTTAATAGGGTCACTTCCTCTACTGTCATAGTGAGGGGTGTGTATGCATGTACATTTGTATCTGTATGTGAAAGTGTGTATGTTTGTGTTAGGCATGCTCATTCTGTTCAATATTTGCAACAAGTCCCTTTGTATCAATTGTGGCAGGAGACCGTATCAGGTCAGAATTTATGTAGAGTCTGTTGTCAAACGTACATGCTCCAATCACAGGCCTAGGGATTTTCTTAAAAAACAAAAATGTGGCAAGCCCTGCCATAGCAATGATGACAAAGACAACCCCTACTGCGATACCAGCAGAGCCATGAGGGGCCTCTTCCACCACAGTGACTGCAATGCAAAAACAGAAATTAGTAGCAACATTAAAATATGTCTAGAATAAGAATTTAGAGATATATGTATGGTTATTTTATATTTAGGGCTGTCAAGAGTGATACGAATTTTGAGGCCACGAGGCCATGAGGCCACGCCCCACCCTGTCAAAGAAAATTTCCTGTGAGGAGATACTTTGATATAAATATCTGTCTGCCTGTCTGTGTGTGTGTGTGTGTGGAAGCCCACAACTTTATTTAAAAGTTTTCTATTTCAGGTATAGTAATGTATGCTCATCAAGTTTTTAAACTGACAGTTAAGTTTGAAACAGAGCATGGTTCACATGAAAAATTGGTGAAAATGTAAAACCTGTCACGTGGGCTGCACCGAACCAGGTACTACGTGTAAGAGGTGCTCTGAGTTCTGTCACAATACAACTCTGCCGTGATTCATGCAAATATGAAAATGACTCGGTCCAAACTCATCCAGGGAGTAACCAGTGCATACAATGAGTAAGATATGGGCCTGCATAATTTGTTCTAACTCAGGGGTTTCCAACCGTGCTCCTGAAGAGCTACCGCCCTGCAGAGTTCAGCTCCAACTCTAATCAAATACACCTGAACCAGCTAATCAAGGTGTACATGGATACTTGAAATTCACCGGCAGTTGTAATGGAGCAGAACTATCTACAATCATGAAGAGATAAGCCATCTAGTCTAATCACATTTTTCTTTCTTTTCTTTTTTTTCAATAATTAAAGCGTCATCAGAGTTGGTATTTTGGTTTTATATATATGATCAGACACTTGCGCTTAATATTTTCTAAAAAAAAAATCATACTCAAATGGAGTTAACAAGGTTTTTGATGTGACAGAGATCTGTGTTTTGTCCATCATTAGAACGGCCGCATCTGAGGCAGTAAATTAATTGCATTACGTTTTCATCAGTTTGCATGTTTATTGTAGCTATTTGGGCACTCGGTTTCTCTTGTTGTTTAATACATTTGGCCAAAATCTCATGATATAAAAGACGAACAGCTATGTACAGGATATTTAAAACGTACAAAAGTGTATTGGCTACAATTAGACAGCAAATGCTAAGACTCCTCTCTGTTCTTTAAACACACAAAAACATTAGCTTTATAGACAGTGTTTCTTGAGTAAAGGAAACATTGTACTTATTCAAACATCAGTTCTTTATTTACCCTTACATTCCAAAGAAGTAAGTGTCTGTCTTCAAACTGCGCAGCGCGACACTTCATTCTGAATGGAGGCGGGGTGGAGTTATGAGGTTTGACTGACAATTTGAGGATCCAATGGCATAACGAGGTTTAATCACAAGCTCTTTTGAATGCTTTTCATTGGTTAAATATTTGTAAAACCCACAAACAGACATAACGATGACCAATAGCACTGATTTAAAGGGGTCATCGGATGCCCATTTTCCATAAGTTGATATGATTCTTTAGGGTCTTAATGAAAAGTCTATAACATACTTTGGTTAAAATCTCTCAATGGTAGTGTAACACAACACCGTTTTTACCTTGTCAAAAACAGCTCTGTTCACAGCAAGCTGTTTAAGTGCATGTCCTTTTAAATGCTAATGAGCTCTGCTCACCCCACCCCTATCTTCTGTGGGGTTAAGAGCCATTCTCATGAGACTGTAAATGATTTGCAAAGATTCGTAAAGAAAACCTTATACTCACTTCTTCTGTAGGTGAAGCTGGATCACGAATGATTCACGTGAACTTAGATGCATTTAGGTAGATCGGGGGCGCATTGCCTTCAAAAACAAACGTAATCCTCTGCGTCTTCAGAGGCTCAGATGTTGGGAGTAAATGACAACTGCTATGTTCATTATTACATCCAACAACAAAACACCTCAATCACTTAGGAGGGAATCTTGTCTACCCCTGCTCCAGTGTTGAAACAATGGCGGAACGTTTCCATCTCACTCAGGGCAGGTCTACGCTTAAACGCCAGTGTCATTCAATAGTCGTGGGAGGGGCCGTGCAGAACTACGTCACTCTGCCAAGAATCTCAGAACAGCCTGATTTGAGAAAGTGATCATTATTATTGGGATTTTAAAAAAGCACTGGGTGGATTTTTATCATTAAGGGGATGTGAGTACACACTGCCAAAACACATTTATGTTCAAACATGTAAATGTGAATTTTGCATTCGATGACCCCTTTAAAATAATAATAATGAAATATAGTAGAGATAAGGAAGTTTTTGATAATTTTCCACGGCACACCCGACAACCTGTCACAGCACACTAGTGTGCCGCGGCACAGTGGTTGGGAAACACTGGCTTAGGAGATGTAACTGCTAGACCAATCAGACACATCATTATTTGCAGTGCTTGAAGTGAGCACTTCTATATTTTAGTCTTTAGAGTATCGGCACTTTTTTCGTGCATACTGGCACTTCTGACATGTTGCTCGTACTCAGAGTCAAAGTGTCAGTGTCAGTGTCTGGGTGATTAGAAATGACACTATATAAATCACACTACCAGGCGGGGTCATCTTTCATCTCGATAAATCACGTGAATGAAAGCAAGCGGAGTCTGTCTCAGGGGTTTTCAATGAGTGGGGCGCAAGAAATATGATTTTTTTTGTAGGTTTGATATATATCATGTCTTTGTTTAGCAAGATTTCACATCAGTTTTAATTAATTTGGCAAAGACAGTACCCCCCAAATGATAATTTAAAGCCATTATGGGAACTTCGAACTGTGTCCTCTAGCGGTCGCTACAGGGAACGCCTTCGGCATGACCGGTGTCTGAAACATACATAAAAACATGACAATAACATTGACCGGCGACAGCCTATGACGCCACTAATATAACATGACCACAGTATAAAAGGGCGCCGAGAGAACACATCATCCTCTTCTTCATCTTTAAAGGGACTGTTTTGTTTGAATCTGCATACCGGTAAGAATGTGTGCAACCATGGCGAGCACTAGTAAGGTGTTTCTCAGGTGGACCTGGCTGATAAGTTGAAAAAGGGGCTTTGCCTTTCTCGCTCGTCAATCACGGACGAGAGTGAGCTGCTGAATGATGACGCTATTTCTAGGCTAGAGCTCTGCTGGTTCCCAGCCAGGAAGAGCAGGAGTTGTTAGATGAGGATGAGGAAATTGAGACTGAGTCCTCCCAATCCTCCTGCCCTGCATACACGGAGCTGCTTGTGGTTATGGAACACGCCACGGCGAAACTTGACTTGCCGTGGAAGCGGGCCAGGAAGGTGACACCTCGTGGTTGTCTTGACGTGCATTATCTTTCTGATAAACAACTCCAGTTCAGTTGAGCCTTCCTTTTCTTCATTTACAGTCTTCCTTTTCTTCATGATCTTCATTTCAGCAAACTAGTTATGCCAACATCAAACGGGTGCGTGAAAGCGGATATGAGAAGATACCCCCTATTGAAGAGACGCTAGCTTGCTATCTTTCTATGGGTGAGACATCTTCTTTTAAGGCTCCCTCATTGCCATCCAGACCCCTTCAAATTACATCTCATCTGAATGGCATCTGCCCTTGACTAAATATTTTTCTGGTTGACTAGTAGTCATTCATTTTAAGCATTAGTCGACTAATCGCACATTTATTAATAAACCATTTAAATCACTATAATGAGCCTTTAACTGCCTACATCGCCTAATAAGCGCTCAAGCACACGCATAAAGCTTGCCACAGCACACCAGCAGATATAATGATTATGAATGTGTCCAGGAAAAACAGTAAAGTGGCTGCATTAACATTTTAATAATGTATTGATACACTAGTGCTTCCTTTTTTTTCAGCTTAGGAGATGAAGTTGGCGGGACAGAATCATTATCACCGCAGTAGTGGACGTGCCTGTATGCATGTTTCATACGAATGACATAATCTGAGAATATTTGTTTTCCATTGGAATTGGTTCATTTGAAAGTAGACATGTCGCTCTCTATATAGATATGTTTTTCATGTCTGTAAGGCAAGTATATACAAAGTTTCGTGCTCAAGAGACAGCAGAAAGCGCATCCTGTTTGCTTTCATTATTTTACAAAAGAGCAATGTTTTGTTGTTATTGTGAGTGCACACAAATAAACCGAGTCTTTACAGATTCAAAAGACTAATTACTCTTGTCTGTATGACCAAAAATGACAGAGTATTTTGAGAGCAAGTGAGCGCACTGGTGCCTCCATCTGTCATGCAGTGAGCGCTGCTGTTCAGCTTTCACACTCCACACAGAAACTTCAATAGTGCACATTTAACATTAGATCTAAGTTAACATTAGATTGAGCAGCCATGTAAAGTTGCTAATACTTACATATTTCACATGATAAGCCATATTTGATGTTGATGAATGACCTGGCTGACATCGGGGCGAAAGAGAGGGGCTTCTCCTTGCTGACGCTCTTCCCCTTGTTTAGGTGCAACTGACCTTTTCGTTCCTGAGATTGGACCCTCCGCCCCCTTTTTTTTTTTGCATTGGCCTGAGGGCTACCTATGAGGGTGTGTTGCTGGTACTATTTGGCAGGGACCTAGGCCGGTCTCTTCGGCCTCATGCTGGCTGGACTCCAACTCCAAGTTGCTAGGCTTCTTCACGGAAGGCTCCTTGGTCATCAGGTCCCAAGTATAGCGCTGCAACCTCAAAGACCCACAGGCCTATATGAAAGTTCTCCCAGTTTGAGCATTTTCTGGGAGTATTGCTTTGTGAAATGCTCCCTAAGTTACTCTAATCTTGCACGAGGGGCTTCCTGAGATCTGAGCTGAGCTTCCAGTTTGAGCATAAGGGGTTGCCTTAGCCTGGGAGCGCTGCTCCCATGAATTCCATATGCAGTCTTACCAAGTTGCTAGGCCTCCTCCTTGCCTCCTTGGTCAGCCGCCTATATGGTGGGAGCTATGGAACGTATGATTTGTACCTACCTGAATCCCGTTCTTTATTCTCTATCTGAGGTCAGTCTGCATTCTGAGCATGGTAGTGTTCCCCTCACTGCGGGAGGGTTATTTGAGCTTATTTGCTCCTAAGCAGAGCATGCGAGTTTTCCTCTCCTCAGAGAGTTGAGAGTCTAGCTCCTGGGTTATAGACCGCTCTTTCTGGCTGAGCTGAGTGGAAACTCTGGAAACTCCATTGAGTAGCTATGTGAGGTGGTTGGGCCCCTTACGCCTCCCTGCTAGACTGCTTTTGTGGTTGAGAACGCACCCCTCATTCTTGAGGGTCACCTATGAGCATGCCGCTCCCAATTGAGCATCTGAGTGCCTCTCCCACGCCTGGGAAGTCGGGCCCTCCACTCTCCGAGCTCCGTCCAGCAACCACATCAGGTAGTTAGGCTCTGCCTCCCTTATAGGCTGCTCTTGTGATTAAGTTTAGTAGTGCTCCCCTCGTTTGGGGGTCACATTGAGCGCGCTGCTCCCAACTGAGCATTTGAACTCTCCTCTTGGTTTCTGAGTTGAGCTTGGTCCAAAAACCATGTTTATGGTAAGTGTGTGCACTATATGAACTCTATATGAAGAGGAGAGTTTGGGATAAATGCAGAGCACTAATTCCGAGTATGGGTCACCGTACTTGGCCACATGTCACGTCACTTATATGTTTCGCACACTTTTTTAAAATTAAAAAAATGGTGAGGGTGAGGGTAAAGCGATGCTAGCTTTGTTCCCTTTCTCTGAGTCGGCTCAGGCCCCAGTTTTGATAGTCCACTTTAGACATTCTACTACTAACAATAAGTAATTTTGCAACTACATATCAACTAATTTTCATTAATTTGCAACTACATGTCTACTAACTCTCAGAGTAGACTGTTAGGTTAGGTTTAGGGTTAGTAGAATAAGTTGACAATTGCAAAGTTTCTCAATGTTAGTATGTCTCTGAGAAGATAGGGTTGTGTCCTCTCCCCACTGCTCTTCTCCCTGTACACCAACGACTGCACCTCTAAAGACCCCTCTGTCAAGCTCCTGAAGTTCGCAGATGATACCACACTTATCGGCCTCATACAGGATGGTGATGAGCCTGCTTACAGACAAGAGGTTGAGCAGCTGGCTGTCTGGTGCAGTCTTAACAACCTGGAGCTGAACACACTCAAAACAGTGGAGATGATCATGGACTTCAGGAGAAACACCCCTGCACTCCCCCCTCTCACCATCATGAACAGCACTGTAAAAACAGTGGAGTCATTCAGATTCCTGGGAACCACCATCTCTCAGGACCTGAAGTGGGACACTCACATCGACTCCATTGTAAAAAAGGCCCAACAAAGGTTGTACTTCCTTCGCCGGCTGAGGAAATTCAACCTGCCACAGGAGCTGCTGAATCAGTTCTACTCAGCCATCATTGAATCAGGTTGTACTTCCTTCGCCGGCTGAGGAAATTCACCCTGCCACAGGAGCTGCTGAATCAGTTCTACTCAGCCATCATCGAGTCTGTTCTGTGCACATCAATAACTGTCTGGTTTGGTTCAGCTACAAAATCAGACACCAGAAGACTACAGAGAACGGTTCTGACTGCCGAGAGGATAATTGGTGCTCCCCTGCCGACCCTTCAAGAACTGTATACATCCAGAGTGAGGAAAAGGGCTCAGAAAATCACTCTGGATCCCTCACATCCAAGCCATCCCCTTTTTGAACTTTTGCTATCTGGCCAGCGCTTCAGAGCCGCAAATACCAGGACAGCCAGGCACAAAAACAGTTTCTTCCCCCAGGCTATCTACCTTATGAACAGTTAAATGTTCCCCCCATTGTGCAATAAAGATATGTGCAATAACCTTATATTTATTTGTTACCACCTACATCCTAGTACATCCCTGCATCTCACTCTATTCTATTCCTATTCTATCATCTATAGCACAACTGTACATACAATTTATTTATTTATTTATTATTTTTCTATTTTTGTCTATTTATATTTACATACAGTATGTGTGTATTTTTATTCTCATCTTATTTTTATTGTCTGTGTGTTGATGTTGTCTCTGTGTACTGGAAGCTTCTGACACTAAAACAAATTCCTTGTATGCGCAATCATACTTGGCAATAAAGCTCTTTCTGATTCTGATTCTATGTTGTATGTTGTGGACCCATCAAAATAAAGTTTTAGAAGATATTAAGCAGACAGTTTACTAATACTCTAATGACTGTTAGTTGACATGTAGTTGCAAAGTTACTTACTGTTAATAGAATGTCAAAAGTGGACTATCAAAATAAAGTGTTACCCAGTTTTTTACACTGGGCCCCACTCTGCTTTTGTATCCTGATGATACCTACTCGGTTGAGCTGGATAGCGCTCCCCTAATTCTAGAGGGTCACCTGTGAACATGCTCCGTTAGATAGCCATACTAGGTTGTTAGGCCCTGTCTGCCTCCCTAATAGGCTGCTCTCTTGGTTGAGCTTAGTGTGCTCCCCTTGCTAAAGGGTCGCCTGTGTGCACAGTGCTCCCGAATCATATGCTTATGCTCCCATCCATAGGCATGATGATCTACAGTAGTGCTTTGGTTCTGTGACTTGAAGCTGTACAGAATGCTCTGCTACTCTTAAGCATGTTTCAGTCACACCAAGTCCCTAGGGCTGTCCTGGTCTCAGGTGACCTTTAGTAACGGTAATTCTAAAATCCATATTTATGGTAAGTGCACACGCTAGGTCTTTGTGCACTTCTCTAAAATCCATGTACATGGTAAATGTGCATGCTCAGGCTTTTGCGCACTTTTCTAAAATCCTTTTTGGTAAGGGTGATGCACTGATTCCAAGCCTTTGAACTCTGCCTGGGATTCGGGCTTTCTCAAGCTCAGCCCCTAACAGGTAAGTTCATTGTGGCATACAGCTCAGGCCTTTGGCTGAAGGGGATAATGTCACTTACAGCCGTCAAGGCATCCTATTGGCAACTCCCTTGGTTATGGTTGAGTTGGTACTTAGTGCTCGCATTGGTACTTGGCTTGCACTCCCCTCAGCATCAGCATCAGCATGGCAGCATGGGTATATTGTTCCCCGTAGTGACCGCTAGAGGACGCAGTTTGAAGTTGGTTCGCCCTTTTATACTGTGCTCACGCCGGTAGTGACATCATAGGCTGTCGCCGGCCAATGTTATTGTCGTGTTTTTATGTATACTTCAGACAACGGTCACGCCGAAGGCATTCCCAGTAGCAACTGCTAGAGGACGCATTGTCTCGTTCCCTTCTCAGGGAACCATGGTTACATACGTAACCTGAGACGATTTTACAAAAAGTAACTTTAGATTTTTTTTTTTTTCATTCATTCCATTTGGCTGATTGAACGAAACAGTTTTCTTCATTAATGGGCCATTAAATTATTGATTCACCCGATTGGGTGGGCCGGGTGCGTTAATTACATTAAAGATTTTAATTAGATTAACCTGTTAAATAGACAGCCCTAATATATAGATCAGTAGACCAAGATAATCTACAAGGATGTGTGTGTGTGTTGAATATGGACACTTGTGTTGGTGCTATCAAACAGAATTAATTGGAATTTTACAAAATGTAATAGGTAAATGTGTGATTATATATATAAAAAAGCATTCATTTGTAAACTTTGACAGCCCTAATTATAATTAATTACAATTAACTCCTTGCAGAACTTGAAATGTAGATGTATTACATACGTGGTATTGATGGTTTCTCTGTTGGTGGTATAACTGAAATATAAAGACATATTTGTACATGCTTATGAAAGGTAATCTCTAATATTAAACTGAATGTAAAAAAAATAGAGTTGCATTTGTATATTTGTTTGGACAACTAACCTTTTGCAGTCTTGCAAATGTAAGGCTTGTAAGAATTGCAGTTTGTGGTACTCCACATACCAGTGTTTGACTGGACTTCCACACAGCTACCAAAATCACTGGGCATCTGGGGTTTCCAGTTGGTGTAATCTACCACCATATTATCAATCCACATCCATTCTCCTGTGACACACACACATACACACACATCAGATGATGCTTCTGAGATCATTTTGAGAATTGTTTGTTTGGATTAAATACATTTCTAACCCATATGACTGCGGTGCATGCCAATCCAGAATGATTTGATTCCATCCTGCATGATCTCAATATTCCGATTAATAAACATGGATTCTATTGGGTCTTCGATACTCACCAGTGATGCTCCTGAAATTAGAGGCCAGTCTTATTTTTTCAGTCACCAAAAAGAAAACAAAAAGTGGTCCAATAAAAGTGGGCAATCAAATATTTTGTTTATGTCACATTTGAAGCTTGAACATTTTTCAAAACATATCCTTACTGTGTTTGCCAAGAAGAAAAAGTCATACTCTCACACAAAGTCATACTTTCAATAATAGTATCTCTACATAGATGCAATACTACACTCTAAAGAAATGCTGGGATAAAAAACAGACATTTCAGGGTTATTTGGCAACCCGGCACTGGGTAAATATTGGGCAGAACACATGCTGGGTTATTTTGACTCAGCTTGTTGGGTTTTATACATTAACCCATTTGCTGGGTTGCTTTGTTTTTTGTTTTGTTTTACAGTGCTGGGTCAGTCAACCAATTAAAGGTTTTTCATTTTAAATAATAAAAATGCACTCTAAAATCTGTATTATACAGTACAAGAAAAGTAGGCTATACAGTATACACTATTTTTTTTATTCAATGTCAAGTCAGTCTTTAACAATCATAAAATACTCAAAAAAAATTGAGTAAAGGTTTTAGGGGCGTGACAAGAACAGCAAGAGCAGCCAATCTATGGGAAGAAAAATGCTATCAGTAGGCTGTTCCAGTTCATTAAATGACTTATATTCATGACTTATCTTATATTCATGTTTGAAAAGTTAAATCAAAAACAGCTTCACCTTGTGCTATCTTATCTGTCAGACATTTGAGTTTCAACCCATCAAACACATAGCTTGACAATTGCATTGCTAGCGCAATGGATCAGTAGCACTCCTATTGTAGTCAGTGGAATGCACAGCAACTTTGTTGAATATAACAGCAAAGTCACGTCGTGTTTTAGCCCTGGTCGCACATTAATTTGGCGGGAGGTAAAAAAGTAAAAGTAACACTGAAGCCGAGTTAAAGTTAATGAGATAATCAAGCAATTAATTAATTGATGAGTGAGCATTAGTAAAGAAAACCCACTGTTAACAATGTTGAAGATGAACAACTACTGCTCAGGCTTTTAGACATGAAAACGTATCACATAATCCTCAACAGTGGTAACTCTGCTTCAGTGTTACTTTAACACTCTGTAGATTGGGACAATATGTACTCTGAGCAGAGTTGATTTAACTCTGGGAATTTTTCTGAATACAAACCTTAATTTAATTCAGGAAGTTTCCCGTCAGTCAAGTTTTCTTTCAGAACAGAACACAAAATGACTACTATCCAGTATTAACCAGTTTGGCACAGTTTACCCTACATTGGGTTACACTGACCCAGCACTAGGTAGGTGTGTGAGAGGGTTCATCATTTGTACTGACATTGAATGAACCAGCAGCTGAGTTACAGAAAAAAAAACTACCCAGCACCAGGGTAAAAAAAAACTAAACAAAACATATTTAAAATAACCCAATGAACTGACCCAACAAGCGGAACCCAGCATTTGAGTGAGTGAGTGAATAAATGAATAAATATTTTTTTAGACTGCAGAAAACCTAGCACCTGTGTAAAAATATTAAAAAATAACCCAATAAAATGACCCAACAGGCTGAACCCAGCATTTGGAAGGAAGGAAGGAAGGAATACATACATAAAATAACCCAGCATTTTTTGTGTATTGTGTGACTCATGTTTATATTAAAACAAATACATTTACTCTTGTACACTTAAGTTCACAAAGTAAGTAATGCCTACCCATTCTCATGCATTCCACTGTGGCATGAGCCCAGTTGTCAGACCTAGAGGCCATGAAGGCATAACAGTGTCCTCTATAAGGGATCCAGGTTTTATGCTTCTTTGAATCAGGGCAGTTCCCTGGCATCTGAGGTGGATCTGTGGGAGCAATGTCTTCGGGGCAGTGGAAGGATGTTAGCATATTAACTTTGTCTTGAACTAGAAATTCAACTAATAAAAATTATAAGCACCACTCTACAAGTGTCTGTTTTAATGTGAATGTAAGCCTGAAATTTGAATTTTCTGCTTAACATTTTATAACAATTAATTAATTAATACAATTATATTAATAAATTAATCAAATATATTAAAACTATATCAATTTTATTAATATATTAATGAAATTAATATACAAAATTAAATTTACTAAAGTAAATTATTTGTAAGATAATTTACATGTTTATTGCTTGCAGAATGTTGAATGAAATACCTGTGGATCGCTTGCACAGGGAATAATACTTGTTGCTGCATGCAGTAGTTTTCCAGTCACCATCCGTGTCAATATATACACAAGCTAAATTATTTTTGGGCTCTCCTGTTGCCCATTTACTGTAGCTTAGAAGCCAGTTGTCCACCCAGCGGTACCGACCACTTGTCTAAAGCAAACAAATTTCATTGTTAAGATTCTTGACATTACCAACATGTCTTAACATGCTAGTAGTGACTACAATTTTGCCATGTAGATGTTCAACATCTTTTTTTGGTCCTCGAACAACATTCCTGTCAAACGAAGTCTTCACACTAACCCTAATTTTTGATCCGAACCATAACCTATACCTAAAATCAGAGGCAAATTATACAGGGATAAGAATGTTGTTGAAGACCCAACCCCAGCACTAATCTTCAAAATCTCACTGGTTGATCATAGCGTTATTCCATGATCCACATGGATGTTGATCCAGGAACATTTATTACATGGCAAAATTTTTGTTACCTATTTGAGCACACTCACACAGACATTATGTTAGCTTGACACTGAAGTAAACTTTTTACTTTACAAAATTAAAGTTTTAAAATGTTGTCATGTGTTTCAATGCTTACTTTATGCACATGGGAATTACACATTTTCAAATAAATTTTTGTACCAGGTTGCTATTGAGACCGATCCACAGAGGCTCCTTAAGTTTGCTGACTCTAAGGATGGTGTAAGCCTGGCTGATGGAATCAAGCACACTGGCAAGGTCAGCATCATCTGCTTTACACTGTCTCCTAGCTTCATCCCAGCTCATTTTCTCCATTTGAACCTTGTATGAATCATTTGCCAGTGTGAAGAAATGTTGTGGCAATGCTGTTGTCACAGGATGAGCAAGCTGAGAGTCTATAACACATAGGTTAAATACAGGTTACACACGTTAGGTGAAATACGCTAAATAAATGAACAGTGACCTGGTCTAACAATTACTGCTTACCAATAAACTGGTTTGTGTTTTAATACAAGTCATAACATTATACTGCAGAGATTTGCTTGAGCTGTGACCAGTATATTTGTGATATACTTAACTAAAATCATTGTATTAACATTATTTCAGATACAAATTTTGCAATGATTTGATGATTGATCCAACCTGTTTTCCTTTTGCAGATGAAACCTCTTTGATCTCCACAGACTTTAACTTTCCACACACCTGTCATCTTTTCTGGGCTTCTAACCATGACAACACAGTCAAAAATCTGAATGGAATAGAGTTCAGAAAAATTATCTCAGCATAAAAAAGAAACAAACAAATATACAAAAGTCAAACATGTTTTTTCTTTCTATGTAAAATTTCTACGTTAATGAAAACTTCATGTTCATATTTAAGAAATAAATGAACTTTTCCACGACATTCTAATTTATTGAGATGCACCTGTATATATTACCACTGTTCTCTCACCCAGCACCCCCACTCAACTCCTTCTCCCAAACACACTTGGTCTTTACTTAGCCTGCTAACAATTATGTATACAATTTGAATAAACATGAAAATATTAAATAAATAAAAGACAAAGTAATTAGTATAGCAGTTACTTAGTTAGTTAGTATATACATGTTTTTATTGTTACCATTTGTCACCAATGTTCTACTAACGGCCCAATGGCTATGTTAGCTGGGAAAGATACAGATTTAGATACAATTTTACACAGAATTTTTCAGAGTTTCATTTACATATTTTCAAGGCAAGAGTGAGAAAATTATTTAAACTCTGGTAGCCTCAAAATCCAGAATTGCACCTCTTAAAAAATTACCTCGACTGTAGCTAATATAAGCCCTAATAGGTGGCAGGCTAGGCAATAATCTGTTGAAGGATTTTAAAGCCCAAAGTATACTTCACTTTTTATGTGTACTCAAAGGACAGCACACAGTGCATGTTACACAAATTTCGTCATCAGAATAGTACGCGCATACTGTACGCACACCACTCAATTTTTGTAGCATGTGTAGGTCGCACACATGCATTGAATTTGTTTTGCAGTAATCAGTTGTTCCACAAGGTGGCAACACTGTCCCGGGCCGTTGTTTCAAAGTTGAAAATGAAACTAAAGAGGCGGAACAACAGCAACAACAAAATAGAGGAGATGCAACAACAACTGCAGAGGTGCTCATGTACTCAATAGCCTGTAAATCATCTTGGTTACACATGTAACCCTAGTTCCCTGAATAGGGAACAAGACACTGCATCAATAGCTGGCACTGTGGGAACACCTCCAGTTATGACGATGATCTGAAGCCTGTATAAAACTCATATAAATGTATTGACCTCTGAGGTGCTGCATCACTTGTGCTTTAAAAGGATGTATCCTTGCCATTAAGCATTTCTGCAAAGGAAGTCATATGCAGTAACGAAGGAGTACGGCAAACTAAACGCATTACCTAGATGTTCCCCTGCATAGGTTCACTCAATGTTGCATCAGTAGGTACTATACTGTACCCTACTACGGTGTGACTGCTAGCTTATGAAATCATGAAATGACTACAGACGGACAGATAAATATGAACTGACACCTGTTTAAGCAGACAGAACCTTGAAACTAGGGGTCAAGTCGATAATCCAGTTTTGAAGAGTTGGTTTGCTGATATACAAATATCCTTCAATGATGCACCCTTAGATAATGCCTGAAAGGAGGCCTTGAGTTGATTCATAAAATGGTGAATAAACTGTACATAATCAGTATAAGAAGCACTGCTCTTGTTGATTGAGGACAATTTCTCGATGTTGAGACAACAAACTCTTTGAGTCAGTATCAGCCAATAGTCAAAATAATGGACTATTGGCTTATACTGAGCTACAAGTCGCTAAGACCAGGCCAAAGGGTAGCACCTACAATTGGTAAGCTTCACGTTGGTTATGAAGAAGCCATTTCTTAAAATTATGCTTAAATTAGTTAAATGATGTACATTCTCTAATTGATTGTGGTATTGAATTCCACTGATGTGATGCTGTGAAAGAAAAAAAACAGCTTGACCAAACAAGGTTTTCCTACGTAGAATTATGCAATCAGCTTTAGCTGCACCTCTAGTTACTCTGTTTTCAATATATTTAAATGTAATAAAGTCAACCAGAAGAGGAGGAGCCAAAACATGCATAACCTTATAAACTAAACAAACATTTTTAAACTTGATGTTTTCCCAACTAAGCAGGTTATACGTATTTAAAATATAACAATGGGGAAAACTAAATTGTTTTTATCTAAAATTTTAAGTGCTTGTTTGTACAATAATTCCAATGGTTTTAGAACTATAGAATGTGTATTAGACCAACTTGTCAGACAATAAGTAATATGAGAAAGATTCATATTAAGCCCGGGAAGGGCTCCTGATCCCCAGTTCAGCCCGGGAAGGACTCCTGATCTCCAGTTCAGCCCGGGAAGGGCTCCTGATCCCCAGTTCAGCCGGGAAGGGCTCCTGATCCCCAGTTCAGCCCAGGAAGGGCTCCTGATCCCCA